CAAACAGATTACTGAGCTATGAAACAAGGTAAAAAAGTAGATGAGAGGCTTGTGATCTGATTTCAAAAATGGTCTTACTCTGTCCTTTTCCTGATGCAACTGTGAAATACATTAACTTTACAACCAGGTGGAAATGCTAATTAGGTAGTGTTAATCTCAACTCTTTTATGCCTTGAAGTAAGTGGACAGTTTATAGCACAACCTTTTACAAGCAGCATCAGTGGCCAAAGAAACATGAGTTAATGTTTTGATTCCAATATGACTGTTCTTCAGAACTCAATAAGAATTTCTCTGAAGAAGAGTCATACCAGACTTAAAACATTAACCTGTTTGTTTTGCCACAGATGCTGCTAAACCAGCTGAGTTTCTCCAGCATTTTCTGTGTTGTTGCCCTCAATGAATCAGTTAGGTTCTTATCACAATCTGGTACTGTTTGTGGTATGCTTGATCACCAATTAAAATATTTACTAGTCCGCTACCATAATTGCTAAACTACCTCCTCTCCTATCCCTCCTCTTTTGTGTGATTATAATGATAATGCTGTTGTAAAATGCGATCATTTCCATAGAACATGATAAATGAAAGTAACTTTTCAGCATTTCCTCATGGGTTCTGTTCCCTGAGAGCATATACAGCTTACAAATGATTTGTTATTAACCTCAATGCAACTTAGATCACTTCAGCAAATAAATTATATATAAAACAATGTTGGAAAACTGACACACAAGGATCAATGATAACAAGGTGTAGAGCTGGATGAACGCAGCAGGCCAAGCAGCATCAGAGGAGCAGGAAGGCTGACGTTTCGGGCCTGGACCCTTCTTCTGAAATGGGGGAGGGGAAGGGGGTTCTGAAATAAATAGGGAGAGAGGGGGAGGCAGATAGAAGATGGATAGAGGAGAAGATAGGTGGAGAGGAGAGGCGGGGCCTCTTTGACCTGTCTGTCTCCTCTCCACCTATCTTCTCCTCTATCCATCTTCTATCTGCCTCCCCCTCTCTCCCTATTTATTTCAGAACCCCCTTCCCCTCCCCCATTTCTGAAGAAGGGTCCAGGCCCGAAACGTCAGCTTTCCTGCTCCTCTGATGCTGCTTGGCCTGTTGTGTTCATCCAGCTCTACACAAGGATCGGTGTTGGGTCTACTGCTTTAATCATTTAGATAAACGATTTGGATGTGAACATAAGAGTAATGATTAGTAAGTTTGCAGATGACACCAAAATTGGAGGTGTCGTGGACAGTGAAGAAAGTTACCTCAGAATACAACAGGATCTTGATCAGATGAGCCAATAGGCTGAGAAGTGGCAGATGGAGTTTAATTTGGATATATGTGAGATGCTGCATTTTAGAAAGGCAAATAAGGGCAGGACTTATACACTTAATGGTAAGGTCCTGGGGAGTGTTGCTGAACAAAAAGACTTTGGACTGCAGGTTCATTGTTCCTTGAAAAAGGAGTCACAGGTAGATAGGATAGTGAATAAGGCGTTTGGTATGCTTGCCTTTATTGGTCAGTGCATTGAGTATAGGAGTTGGGAGTCATATTGTTCCTGTACAGGACATTGGTAAGGCCACTATTGGAAATCTTTGTGCAAATCTGGTCTCCCTGCTGTAGGAAAAACGTTTTGAAACTTGAAAAGGTTCCAAAAAAATTTACAAGGATGTTGCCAGGATTGGAGGGTTTGAGCTATAGGGAGGGGCTGAATAGACTGGGGCTATTTTCCCTGGAACATTTGGAGGCTGAGGGGTGACCTTATAGAGGTTTATAAAATCATGAAGGGCATGGATAGGGTAAATAGACAAGGTCTTTTCCCTGGGGTGGAGGAGTCCAAAACTTGAGGGCGTGGGTTTGAGGTGAGAGGGGAAAGATTTAAAAGAGACCTAAGGGGCAACTTTTTCACACAGATGCCAGTATGGAATGAGCTGCCAGAGGAAGTGGTGGACACTAGTACAATTACAACATTTAAAAGGCATCTGGATGGGTATATGAACAGGAGAGATTTAGATGGATATGGACCAAATTCTAGATTTATTTAGGCTACCTGGTCGGCATGGGCAATTTTAACCAAAGGTTCTGTTTCTGTGTTGTAAATCTCTATGACTGTATGACTCTACGACTTGAAATTGTGAATTTTGCCAACACAAAAACAAACAAGTGAGGTTCCACAGAGAGAAAAGACCACTTGTTTTGGATTGAATATTTAATTTTATCAAGTGATAGAGCAAATGAGAAGAAAGAGAAATTAAACAAACAATCATGCATTATTTATATAGGAATAGCAGTATTGACAATTAAATACACTGCAACCAACAAAACATCAGTCAATAGATAAGATGCAGACAATGAAAGCAAGTAGGCATAATTCTCACATAGCATTTTATACCAAATAAAGTTTGCCTCAGGAGAGTCGTTAAAATCTGTCAAGATACTAGTTTTTGTTCCATTATTTAATACTGTTTACTCAAACAAGAACTCTGCTCAGAATGATAGTCTTGCTGTATTTATAGAAGCATTAATTTGCAAATGTGTTTTCAGTCCTGTTTTGATATAGCAGATATGGCTTAAACAATTGTCAACTGTATCTACTCCTTTCTCTGAGGCTGGGCTGCAGTGTGTACAATGGTTACTTTGGGTGTTGAAAAGCTACACCCTCTCACCTGTGAATGAAAGCTAGTCGATGTAAGATGTAAACTCTCGTCTCTGCACAGACACTGCCTGATCTGTTGAGTTTTCCCAGCATTCTCCATTTTTATTTCTAATGTCCAGTACCTGCAGTAATTTGCTTTTGTCCTTTTACCTCCTATTTATTACCTATCATTGGTCCCATACCCATTTTCTCTTGTTGACCCACAACTTTCAATGACAACATGATCTTGCACAGACTATGACCATTGTTGCCTGGCGTAATGAAGTGCTGTGAGCTAATAACAGTTTGTTGCCTCGTAGCCATGCTGTGTATAATGTATTGCTGTCTGTCATGTTTGTTTCGTATGTTTGGAAATGCCTTCATTTATTTTGAACGGCAAATTTTAGATTGGACTTTATGCTGAAACCCCTGCAGTAGTAGGATGAAGCCCTAAATTGTGAATAAGTTGCTTACCCTTAGGCCATGAACAGTCAAGCCAACCGATGTTCCTCCCCATCTGCAAGGAAGGCAGGCAGAAATGGGTGGATTGGTAGCAGATACACTGCTGATGGCACAGTGCTGTAATTTACAACTCCACCTGCCTGATCCAAAAGTTGGCCCAAAAAATCCCTTTTTCATCTCTTCCAGTTTGGAAGCATTATTTTCCTGTGTACTTTGAATTCTCTCTCACTATCTTTATGCCTGTGTTGGCCTGAGCTTACATGTAAGAATGATTTGTGTTTCCTTTACCCTCTCAAACAAATTGATTTTTTCTCTGAAGGTGAATTACGTGATACACATGCAGCGAATGACAGGAAAAAAAACTTTCCATTTTGCCACTTACTGATCAGTTTCATCATTCAACTAATGAATAAATTTTATTTGGAAATTCTTCTGTTTTGAGGCTTTCTCCTTCAAGGCAGGGTGGGTTGGAACTCAGATTTTAGAATGAGTTTATCACACCACTTTGGCTGAGTGGAGCTGGATATTTTCTAATCAACCTGTTCAAAGACTTTATTACAAACGTCTGGATCAAGTAGGACTAGAACCGAGGCCTCCTGGTTCAGAGAGAGGGACAGAACTGCTGCACCACAAGAGCCCTTGGCTGACAGGAGCTTTGCTAAGTAGAAGTGGAATGTCTTACAATTTGAAGAATAACAACTTATCTTCCGCCTGGGCACCTTACAGTCCAGAAGAACTCAACATTGAGCTCTCCAATTTGAAATAACCTTCCCACCCATCCACCGGCTCCCTTTCCAGCCCCACCTCTTCCCTTCCATTCCACCTTCTCACCATCCCTTCCAGCCACCAACCAGATTCACCCATTGACCAACCAGGTTGTACCTACTACCAGTGTCCACCTATCACCACTATTCCGACTTCCCCCCTCACCCCACTCTTTATCTGCAACTCCCTATACCCCCACTTTGAGTCCTGAAGAAGGGTAATACCCGAAACGTTGACTGCTCCTTTCCTCCAGATGATGCCTAGCTTGCTGTGTTCTTCCAGCCTCTTGTTCATCTGCCTCAGTTACATAACTGCCAGAAGTTGAACATTCCAATATACATTGCTATACATTGGGAGCAACCTATTTGTAAACAGCATGCAAGTCTACTCCTTCAAATTAGAACTTCATTTCAGTTTGATTTGTTTTGATTTATTGTTGTCACAAGTACTGAGATACAGTGAAAAGAATTGTTTTGCATGCTGATCAGACAAATCATACCTTACATAGGTACATCAGTGGACCACACCGCCATAAAGCTCACATCCCACTGATTTATAGCTCCACATATTTATACAACTGATTCATACACAATTAACCCTAATTAATATGTCTGTCACTCACTTTCTAATTCTGTTCGGTTTATAGCATTCGCTCATGACCCGTTTATGCTAACTTTGTTTCCTAATAGTTAGCCAACTTTCTATCCATGCCAATATGTTATCTCCTACACCATGAAATTTTATTTTCTATAACATTTGATATGGAACCTTAACAAATGGCTTCTGAAGATGATACCTCCTCTAAGAGCTCCAGTAAGTTAGTTAAACATAATTTCACTTTCACAAAACTGTGATTACTGTGACTCTGATTACTTAGAATTTTACAATATGCCCTGCTATAACATCTTTAATAATGGCTTCTAATATTTCCCCAAGGACAGATGTAGTTTCTGCTCTCTGTCTCCCTCCCGTTTTGAATAAAAGTGCGGTGATCAACTCTTTAAATGGTGGTAGTGGAATTTAGAATTCTATTTCATGCAAACTGAATCTGAGGTATGGATAAATCTGGGAGTACAAATAAATATGGGAGAATGGCTTACCATTAAAGAGCCTATTCCATCTGAACTTGTTTTTATTTTACTTGGTATATTAGGAGTGAGTCAAACCCTTCAATTATGAGCCAGATGCAGATGCAGCATTTCCGAGAGCAGCTGTCTTCAGATTGCTCCAGTTCTCAGGATTCATTAGACACCTTGTCAATGGATGACTTCTGGACTGAAGTAGAGAACATTAAGGAAAGCCATAGGACTGAACCAGATGAAAATTTGGAAGTGAAGACACCAGATGGTAAGCCACAACAAAATACAGTTTTACAAATACAGCACCTAATTTATGTATAAAATGTGTAATTCTGTGTGTATGGCAATGCTGTTTGTATTGTTACAATCAGGTAAGTACAACTGTTATGATGGGGTGCATTTGACTGCTTTTAATTGCAATCAGTTGCTATATTCAGACGACTGTCAATCAAATATGGAGGAATTGAATGGCTTCTCTCTTTGCCTTTTCCTCATTTGAGCGTAACAGATTTTTTTTTCATCTGAAGCGAAGTATTTGCCTATTCAGTGAGTACTAATCTGTTTACACATCATGGTCTTTTAAAGAAAACAATCGGACACTTCGTTGAATTTAACAGCAAAGGAGATTAGTTTTATTATACTTATGCCAATTGAAGTAAAATGATAAAATATGTCCCAACTTTCAGATGCATATAGACACAGTTCAGACACATACAAATACAGATTACAGAGTGGGGAAGGATCAGTTGGTCAAATTGGACTCCTTAAAAGTGTAACAGAATTCACCGTCTGTACTTTGGTGACTTGGCTGGCTTCGGTCTCAATGCGGTGCTCTTATTGCTTTCACTTGGTGAACTTCACCCTACAATCCCTCTTCCGTACCTACACTGGCACAATCCCTCTTCCGTACCTACACTGGCCCTAAACCCCACCTCTTCCTCCATTACATTGATGACTGTATTGGCGCCGCCTCGTGCTTCCACGAGGAGCTCGAACAGTTCATCCACTTCACCAACACCTTCCACCCCAACCTTAAGTTCACCTGGACCATCTCTAATACCTCTCTCCCCTTCCTGGACCTCTCTGTCTCCATCTCGGGCAACCACCTAGAAACCGATATCCATTTCAAGCCCACCAACTCCCACAGCTACCTAGAATACACCTCCTCCCACCCACCTTCCTGCAAAAATGCCATCCCCTATTCCCAATTCCTT